ATATATTTATCTAGAATATTAAAATTGCTGTTAAGACCATCAGTTTCATACTTAAGAGTTATCCATTATCGGCATAATAAATGTCAATAGTATTTTAATCTAATGTTAACTGTTGATCATCCAATTATTTATTATTTATAATTAATTAAGCCTTTAATTACGTATTAAGAGGATAATTATGCTTAATTAATATAAAAAAATAAAAGACTGATCTTCCATTTATTTATTTGATTTAAATTTGATAATTATTTGATTCTTTTTTTGTTAGACTATTAGAAATCATTTTATTTTCTTCAATTAATTAAGATTAAAATTATAAATATTCCATATTACTTAATTTTTATATCTTATAAATATCTTCAGATGTAATACTGTAAACTTAACATATATCTAAATAATATTAGTCTGAACTTTAATTTTAATTTTAAGATTGTAATTTTAAATTTAAATGGATATCATTTTTTATGATATCTGCAATTCCTTAATTATATATTTCAATATATAAAATATTCAATACTTAATTATATGGTATATCTTCTTAATTCTTTATTTAGAAATCGTTTCTTTAAAAAATTCTATTTGCTAATAAGTTATCTAATAATTCTAATTTTTATATACTTTTATTTATAAATAATATAGTTTGTTATTTATTTTTAATAAAAACATTGGATCATGGTTCATTTTATATATCATATACATTATAGGAGGTAAATTAATTTCTAGGCTTTTAATAATTTTATTTTGAGAAGGATAAAAACCATTTTACATATATCCAATTTCAGGAGTAAAAGCTATAATATCTTTATATTTTATTAAAACATTTAATTTTTTTTTTTTTTTAATAAAAAACTTTTTTCTTTTAGCATCCAATCATTAATTTCACCATTAGCAAGGTAAAAATCCATTTATATAGCATTTCCTTTTAATGCATCTTATGAAAAATTAGCTTAAGCAAAAAATTCTTAATAAATTATGTAATATTTTTGCATTTATTTCAATAAATTATTTTCTTTATCACTTATATAATTAAAGGGAACTAACCATAAATTTCCATATGAATGCAAATTAAATGCAACTTTAATATTTTTTCTTAAATCAAGAAATTTTTATATATTTTGTGTTTCTTTAGCTGAAAAAGCTTATTATCCTCTATAAGTTATACTGCAAGGATCCGGAGAGCTTCCTATATCATCAATTCCAAATGCTGTCCCGTAGTTTCTATTTAGATCTACTCCTTACAATACATTATGTTCACACTATTTTTCGATTTTTCTATTTTTTCTGATATTTTTTTTTATATCATTATCATTAAAATTCTACATTAACATTTCATATCCGTCAACATTAACAACTGGAATAAACCAAATAACATTATTTTTTAAAAAATCAATTGTTTGTTAATCCCCCTAAAAATATTAATAAATTAAATATGCATATGTATAAAGTTGCATTGTAAGTGACATAACTTCTCTAGCGTGATGTAAACTATTTATAAAAACTCCTTATTAGTTATTTAAGTCGTTATTTTTATCTAATACTTATATTATATAATTTTATTTAAACATTTTTATTATTTTTATTTTTTACAAGTTAAACATGTTAAATAAATATCACGATTTTCCTCTGTATTTCCTACACTTTCTAAAGGACATGCTAACTATTGAAATTATCTTTAGACACTTCTATATAAATCAAGTGTCGTAGATTAATCAAAAAATCCATCCTTTTTATATTTAAAATAAGTTAAAAACATTTTTTTTTTTTTTTTGGCAACGATAGGACCAGTAGAAAACATATTCTAAATTGTACTCCATTAAGTATTCTTATTTTATACAAGTTATATAAAATTTTAAATATTAAATGCTCTTATAAATTAGAAAAAAATTAATAAATTAAGAATGACAATTAATTTCATAAATTTTTATTATATTTATTTTAATTTTTTTAAAATTACAATAATAAAATTTAATTTTTTTTTATTATAATATAAAAAATATCAATTTAATAATGATTTTTCTATAATATCTGAAATTTATGTTATATAATAAATCTTATTTAATTTACTAGTTTAGTTCGCTATATATACATATATATTTAGCATATTCTTATTATATTTCTTTATGCATAATTTTTTTTAATGTTTTGTTTAGCAATACTAATTACTATTTTCTTCCTTTATCGTATTTTTAAAAATAGCTACATAAATTGAGTATTAATTTGTAAATAAATAAAGCATATACCACATTTTAATTTAAATAAATATTTGTGGCATATATTTAATTAATAAATAAAATTAATAATTTATATATTACTTATTAATATTTTTTTTAACGCTATCCAAATCTTAACCAGTTATTTTGTTTTAATTATATTTACTAATAAGAATTTTTTAAATTTGGTAAATGTAAAAAAAAAATTAAAATTTTTAATTTATAAATAATAAATTGATTTCATAATAAATAGTTAATCTTATTTAATTTTTATTTTCCATTTTAATTTTTTTATTTTCCATTTTAATTTTAACTAAATAAAATAAAAATTTATAAAAATTAATAACATTAAAATCATAAAAAAATATATAACATTAAAATCACAAAAAAAAACTAAATCAAAATCACAAAAAAAACTAAAATTAAAATGATAAAAAAAAAACTAAAATTAAAATAAAATAAATATATTAATCTAAATACGTAATATTATATTTAAGTACCCATTTAATTTTATAATATCATATACATATGATTAAAAATATATTTATAATGTCTCATATTTATATTTCAAGCAATAAAATAAAGATTCCACATTAAAAAATATTTAAAAATTATTAAGTAATTTTATGATATTACTGATAAATAAATACTAAGGTACGAAATTAATAATTTTCTGAAGCTAAATTGAATAAGGCTTCTTAAGAACTTAAAATTTTTAAAAATTAAAATAATTTAATTTAAATTAAAAATATCAACTAAGATTCAAAAGAATTTTGACATTTTAAGTGAAAAACGGATAAATCTATTATTAAATAAAAAATTTATTTTAATATTAAGGAATTAATTAATTATTGTAAAACTATTTATATTATTAATGTAGAATTCCCATAATTTGTTAAAACAATTATTATGCTTGGATTCCTAAAAAGTTAGTAACTTATAATGATAAAACGACACTATTAATTTTTTTTTTAATATGATTAGATATATGAGAAATTAAAGTTAAACCGGATACATGCTATAATAATGATGTGGTTTTATATTTATTTTTATGGGGATTATTTAAAAAATATTAAAATGAAGTAGTGAAAAAAAACAATCAGGTTAAATTAAGAAACTGTTTTATGCATTTAAATAGTATATTAATAAAGATCTTTTAGTATTTTAAAAAAATATTAATTTTTAAAATTTTGAATGAAAAATAAAAAAAAAAAATTATTATTAATTTATAAATAAATAAATATATTAAAATTAACTTATACTAAAATAAAATTTTATAATAAAAATATGGGTAATTAATAAAAGGATAATTAATTAATGAAATAATCATAACAAAAATCAAAGGAAAACTTAACACAAATTAATAATTTAATATTTTTATATATTTTATATGTTAAAAATAAATTATATAATTTATAAACCTAATCTATTTTTTTATTATATTATTTAAGGAAAGTAATAAGTGTGTATAAATATTCATAGATATAGCTTATTGTTTAAATAATAGATCCCCATCATTTAGTATATGCTTTTCGCGTTTATATTGTTTCTAATTATACTTTGAATATATATTTACTTTTGTTATAAAAATAAAATAATATTAATAATATTTTATATATAAATTATTGCTGTTATCAAAAAAACTTTGTTTTATTTTTTAATAGAAAATTATTAAAAAATATAAAAGACATCTCGAATGAATAATTTAATTATAAAAAGTTATTTTGATGTATTTTCGTCTATTTTTATTTTTTTAGCATGTCAGTTACAATATAAATAAACTGTATCCAAGTTTTAACATATTTCAATAATTTATCCTTTAATGCTTAAGTCAAACCTAATATTTTTATTCCTTCGCACTCTCTGATTTCAGTTGTTAAGAATAGTTCTATATTGGAATAAGCTTTTAAAATTGTATTAATTATAATTTACCTATTTATGTCCTAATTTGCGTTAATAAATATACTTAAAGTTTATAAACAATATTTTGCTAAAAAATATATTCTAATATAAGACCAAAAATATATTGTTATTGGTAATATTATATAAGTAACTAATATAAGTTAAAAAAATAAATTAACTTATTTAATTAAATATTCAATAATATAGTATTTTAATAATCGTAGTTCATTTTTTTTTGCATTAAAATTATTATATTAGTTTAATAATGTTCAATGTATAAAATTACATAAAAACAACAATAGTTTATAAATAATTTATATCATATTAATAAAAGTCATATATATTTATAAATATATATATATATTATATATCATGTATATTTATATATATATATATTTTTATGTAAATATTTTTTATTTAAATTTTTTTAATAAATAATTTTTTTATTATCATTATTTTATAATTTATATTTTTCAGATTTAAAAAGATTTAATTTGGTATATATAATATTTATAATATCATAGATATTTATTAAAAATAAAATATTAATTAAAAATAAAAAATGGATTTAATTTATAAATGCATTTTTATTTTAAAATTTTGTATATGTACAAAATTTAATATATATTTTATTTTTCTCGAAATTTGATAATGACTATACTTTATATATATTGCATAATTTTAAATTCCATAAAAGAAAAACCCTTCAAAAATAGTTTGAAATAAAATATAATTCTTTTTTTCAGCCATCTTTTCTCTCAGTATATATTTTTTAATTTAAGTTATTTAAATTCTCATTAATTCTTTATTTAATTTGTTTTTATATGGCACTTATTTGAAAATATAAATTAATTTTAAATTTAATGACAGAATAAAATAAAATTAATGATATAATATAATATAAGCTGAATTATTGTTTAAAAGTATTATTATTATTATAAAAAAATTAAATGTATTATAATAAATATTAAATTACTATTTTTATTAATTTAATTATATATAAATATACAAATATATAATATATTTTGTTATTTCTTATATTTACCGTTCTAAATGTATATTTTTTTTTAAATATATTATTTTTTTTTGCCATTATTATTTTAGAAAAAAAATATTTTATTAATTTTTTTTTTAAAATATCTTATATTTTGTTTCATTTATATCTATTACTATTTTAATAAATTTGTATTAAATAAAAAGCGTTTTTCGTTTTAAAAATTTATAATATATAATTAAGAATAATATATTTTTTTTAGAAAATTATAAAAAGTCACAAAATTAATTAAATAGATATAACAAAAAAATGAAATGTAATAAAATCGAATCAATATTTAATTTAAGTAAAAATGAAAAAGTAAAATTGTAAAAATTAAAAATATTTATTATATATTTTCATTTTAATTTTAATTATAATATTAATATATGATTAATAAAGTTTATAATTTATTTCAAAAAAATAATTAAAAATGATTTTTTAATACATATGACTTTTTCAAAATATACAGTAACTTTATGTATTAAGAAGACATTATAAAAATTATCAATATTTAATAACCATTTTAAACTAAATATAAAATAACAAAAATATTTAATAAAATAAATTAAAAAATAATAAAAATTTTATAAATATAAAATTAAATTTAATATTTTTTAATAAAAACTAAAAATATAATAATTATTAATGTTTTCAATTCTAATATTTTTTTTTATATATATTCATTAAAAAAATTTTCTAAATTAAGAATATTAAATAAGTTCATTTTAATCCTATAGCATTCTTAATTAATTAGACTAGAAACATATTAAATAAATAACTTATATTTAATAAATGCAGAAATAATTTAATAAATAAAAATATCAATAAAAATTACTAAAAAATAAAAAGGCAACCAATCGTTGTATTTATTATAAAATTTATTTTAAATACTAATACAAATAATCAAAAATCAAATTATGACTATAACAAATAAAACTAGATAAATTAAATATTTAAATAGTCTTTTATTCAATTTGTAAATACTTTCTATTAAAACAATGAATAAGTTAACACATAATAATAATAAAAAATTAGCTAATATTATTAAGACAGTTTTTAAATCATTAAATAGAATAGAATTAGCAGTAATAAGAATAATATATTTTATATATTATTAAGTTATTCTAAAAGGTCTACTTATAAATTATTTAAATAAATATTTAAATTAATTTATGAAAACTTATAACTTAAACAATTCTACTTTTTTAAAAAAAGTTTTAAAAAACAACAGATCCATTTGCCTAATTATAAACAGAAATATTATCATTTAATTGTAATAAAGTGCTATTTTTAGTAAATATATTTGATTCAACTTTTTATTGCTATTATTATTATGATTAAAATATTTTATTTTGAACTTTATAAACTTATTTACCACTATCCTTTGTTTTTTCTTCATATTTATAGTCATTTTTCATATCTCTATATATTTATTAGTTTTATTAACTTTACAATCGATTTAAACTAGCTTAAAGCTTTTTTCTTTTAATCAAAGTAATTTTTTAAGTTTTAGCCTGATTAATTTCTGGATCTTGAATTTTATCCTAATTGTTTTGAGATTATACGATACCTTCTTAGTTATTTTATTATAAACCAACTTTAGCATATTTTTAAGAATTTAACTTACTAATCTTACGTTTAATAAGTGCTTCTAAATTAACTTCTATTAACAATTAATCATCTCCTTTTTATTGATTTTCAGACATTGGTCTATTATTATTATTATTTTCTATTATATTAGATTAAATATTTAATGGCATTATTTTTTATATTTTCTCTTGCTATTTTTCAGATTATAGCTATTTTGATATCAAAGAACCTAATAAATTCATTTATTATGTATCGTTTTCATTTTTTGTTACAGTATCTTAATATTATATGACTTAACTAATCTAGCGACATTCTTTATTATATTAAAATTCAGTTAAAGAATCTTTTAAAAATTAAATTAAAAAACATGTTTTAAAAATAAAAAAAATAAAATAGATTGGTTATTAATATTAATAAAATTGTAAAAAAAATATTGATTTAAATACTTAAAAAAAAATATTTTGTTATTATAAATAATATTTTTTTATAAATTTACTTATTTTTTAGTTGGGAGTTTTTAAAAGATGTTAGTTTTGTATTCTAAAAACTTATTCATCGTTTTTAAAAATATCATCTAATTATTGATTTCGTTTTTCCTCATTAATATCCTTATTAAAAATAATTTCTATGATTTAATTTCTTTTTATTGTGTTTTATTACATTTTTTAGTTTCGAATATTATCAATTTATTATAAATATATAAATGAAATCACATAAATTACAGTAGTAGCAACTAAAGTCCATATAGAAGCATAAAAATACCAATCTTTTATAGGAATCACTTTATAGATTTGATGTATGTCATTAACAAGAGTTTATTTTCCTTTGGTTTTGCATTAACATATAAATTATTAAATTTGATTTTAGTCATTAGTATAATATAAAAGTATGCAATCTTTAGATACCCATTTGCCTTAAATATTCTATATACAAACATAATCCCCAACATTATTTATTGCTTAAGGCAAGTTATAAATGTGGAATAAAGGAAGGTCAATTTGTATTTATTATTAATTAGATTCGAAAGTTATTTCCTTTTCATTTATGATAAAAGGATGATTTTTTGAGTAAGGGAAGTTTTTGTCATAATTTATTACAGAAGAAGGATATTCTATAAAATTTACAAAGTATTTTAAATTTTCTTAGTTTTTTTCTATATTTATACTATCATAGTATTTATTTGAAAATAGTTTCAAATATTTTTCTTTTAAAACTCTATATGTTACTGTTTGAGTTGTAATTACATTTATAACATTTATAGGATTATCATTTGAAATCAAAAACATATTCAAAGTTTACGATATCGTTTTCATTATTTACATATACTGTCTATCTAATAATGAATTTTATTTATAATAAAATTATTTTCTATCAACTTATTAAATATTTTAAATTATTTATGTCTATAATATAAGAATTTATATTGATTAAAGAGAATTCTCATATTATGTTGTGTCAGAAATTACTATGTTTTTAATTAGTTGTTGTTAATTAGTTATTATTTATTCAATATTATTAATAAATTTTTGGATATTATCAAATCCTAATTATGATGCTATTTAATTGAAAAAATTACCAAATATTAAATTTAATGTTATTTATGTCTATATAAAATAGGCAAAAGAGTCGGTTTATTGATAAAAATAGTTTTACGAATTCAAAACCTCATTTAAAATATCAATATATAATTATATAAATTATGAATTTTTCAATAATTATAGGACACTCAAATGATTAATAATATCATTAGTAATCATATTATATTAAATAATTTTTTTTTCATTTAAATTATTTTATTAAGTTTAAGTAAACCAACTATTTATAAATATGTAATATGAAGAACTATCTTAACTATATTGACTTACTGTTATTTATTAAGTTATGTTTCGTATTCCTCCCTTTGAATCTTATATTACTCCCATAATTAAGGAAGCACCAAAAGGTAAAACAGTTTCAATATTATTGTTTGGTGAAAAATCAGATAATAAATGCCTATTAATATATTATTCATTTAATAATTCATTATTATAATCATCTTAATTTTTATAAAAATAGAACGAATAAGTTAAAGGTTAATCAATATCAATACATCCATTTATTTAAAGAATTTATTTATCTTACATATTTCTAACTTCAAAGCCTGTATTTTAATCAAAATTACAATTTTTAGGAGGTATGTTAGCATTTAAAGAATAAGATATTAATTTTGGTATTATAAAATTTTAATTTCTAATAGAAAATTTTAATTCAAATTAATTTTAATTTTAAAAGTCGTAGAATAATTCCCAAATTTTAAATCTAAACTAGTTGTAATCTATTTATACTATACTTACTTATTAATTTTGATATAATATGACTCCAGTAATTATCAAGTCATCAACATTTGTATCTCCTTGAAAATCAAATTATGTAAATATTTTTTAATTTAAATTTATTGTATTTTAAGTATTATGTATAGAAATAGTTGGATTAACAGGAGGAATGGGATAATCTATGATTAATATTGTCATCTAATCAAATACTGTTACTCCGTCTTTTTCTCCTGATAATTTAAATTAATATTATTAATAAGCCTATAATACATTCTTTTATATGCTAATTTATAAGTTTTATGTAATTGCAGAAACAATTAAATTATTTTATGAGTCTTTACAATCATTTCCAGTAGAAAGGTTAATACATTACCAGTTTATATTTACTCCATAATTAGTTGATTTTAATGGAGCTTTTTCACTTGAAGATAAATTAGGATCGTCTACTATTGCTTAGAGATCTAAATTTTAAGAAAATTATTATTATCTGTTTCCTCCTAAAATTTAAACTAAAGGAGGATTAGAAAGCACTTATATTGGGAATAATATTTATTGAGTAATTTTAGGATCAGATTTTAAAGAAACAATAATTTATATATTATATGTTGTACTCGCTTTCATAATAAAAGGTTAAATTTACAATTAAAATTATGTTCCTTAAATTTATTATGTTTAATCAATATTTAATAAATTCAGTTAAATTGTCAATTTATTTTATTTATACTTCATAAAAATTTTCTTATTGATAGAATATTTTTCCATCATCTTCACATTATAAAAAATTAAAATTAACATTTATATTCACTAAATTATTTCTATAAATTTAATTCGGATTTGATTTCACTTTTATGTCTATTGAACTGTCTGATGCGGTTTATATTATTGCATTTGCAATTGCTACTTGGTTAAAATAGGTAACTACATTTACTTAGAATTAGTATTATCCTTATTTTTTGAGTTTTAAAGGTGGTATTTCTAAAAATAATTTGTTATTTTATTATTAGATTTACGTATTTATTTAATTTATTTCGTTTGCAGTATTTACATTGGAAGAAACAAGCGTCCAAATAATTTATTTTAATCCTCTATTTCCACAACTAGAAATACATGATATTCTTACTTATGCTTATTAACATATCGAAATAGGACTTGTTTAGGTTAACTTTATAACTGGATTCGTGTCTAAAACTACTTTTCCAGTTATTTATTAAAGAAAATCAGAGCAATCAAAACCATTATTTGTTAATTTGAATACACCAGGCTTTATTCTTATTATATCATCCTTATTAATAGTACTAACAGTATCAAGTTTAATTGTAAGTGTATTTTAGGATTTGTCAAAAGAACATAAAATATTTCCTTATAATTTAGAAGAAATAAATGCTTAATCCAATGTTTCTATACAAAGTTAATTAGTAAATTATAATTAAGAAGAATAATTTTATAAATCTAAATTTGTGAGAATTAGCTAAATTTATAAATTAGCAAAATAATTATCAAAGTCTATTATTAAAGACAACAAATCATCACTAAAATGTATTTTAGTCATTATAGTTAAGCATGAATCACATTATGTATTTGAGTTTAATTAAAAGTAATAAGGAGTTATGCATGTAAGACATTCAGTTGTACTGCATGTAGCACATCCAGTTGAAAAAGTAGAACGTAAAGTACAGGCTTAATTGAAAATATTAGGATCATAAGAATATTAAGGACAATTACATTATTAAGGAATATTAAGGACAATTACATTATTAAGGAACCCTATTCTCAAAACAAGTATCACAGGTAATGTCATTAGAACAAGTTACACATTTAGCTAAACAAGCTGTACATTATCTGTTTGCCGTATTTCCCCATTTACCTGCAGGACAGGCCATTACATATGAATTTCCATCTAAAAAATGTGATGGTAAACATGCTTAGCAAGTTTTATTATCACAAGTAGAACATCCAACAGATATAACAGAACATGCTAAACATGTTAATTATTGATTTAAGTTATCATAATGATGAATAGGACATCCGCAAGCAGGAGCAACTCTATTCATAAAGCAAGTGTCACAATCGTTTGCATTAGAACAAGTTACACATTTATTATTACAAGCATCTCAAGTTCTAGTTAAAGCGTTTGCATATTTTCCATTTGGACAAGATTAAATACATTAAAGATTATTATAAAAAAATCCAGTATTGCATTAATCACAGGAATCTTTTTTTGAGCATTATTCGCAATTCGCAATACAATTAACACAATTATTTGTTTCTAAATAATAGCCTACTAAACATTAATTACAAGTAAAAATATCGCTAACACATTCAGCACATCCAATCTAACATTCATTAGCATAAACTATAACTTCCCTTATACCTAAAGATTCATTATCAGGATTTTCATCCAAGTTATTGGTAAATGTAAGTTTAATATTTTAGTCATTAGTAGCATATTGAAATCTCGCAATTAATATTTCTTCACTCGCTGCTATTCAGCAAAGACTTCTTGTTCCATTAGTTTTTTAAATAGTATGTGTAAATGTTTCCATTTATACTAATATACAATCGCTCGTTAGTATCCCATGAATCAATCAATATATATGTAAATTAGACTGAATAACTATGTAAAGGATTTTTAGATTTAAAACTATTGCTTATAATACAATTTTTTCCGCATATATTAAATCCTCCTAAAAGAATATTTTTATCACAATTAGAAATATAACTTAATCCAACATATTTAGTAATTTAGAAACCACAAACTTAAATATCATTTAAACTAAAATTACCGAATAAACATTTTATTAGCTATACTTATTTTTGAGAATAAACTATTAAAAATAGGTTTAATGTTATAAAAAAAAAAAAATCCTCATATTTAATTATATATTCATAAATTATATTTTAATAATTATTATATTATAGAAAATATTTTATTAATTTATTTTTTTAATTTATATATTAATAATTATGTATAAAAATAAATATTATTTTATATATTATAATCAAATAATTTTTTTATTCACATAATTAATATAAATCAAATAAATTTTATTTTACAATAAAATATCAAAATTTTATTTTATAATAAAATATCAAATATTTAATGATATCTTTAATATTTATTATATTTTTTTTGTTATTATTTTATTTTGTAATAAAAATTATATTTATTTTTTAAAATTGTATTAAATGTTATGACTTAATTAAAAAGAAAATAATTATATAATATATAATTTATTTCAAATGTTTATAATATAAATAAAAAAAATAGTAAAATTTAATTTAATTTTTTTATGAAAGAAAAAAAATAATAATATTTATTTATATCTTTCAATAAAGTTATATTAACAAAATTAAAAAAATCTATTTAAATTTATTAAAAAAAAATTAATAATTATATATATATATATGTATATATGTAAGTTACTTTAAATCATTATATATTTTTTAATTATTTTTACTAAAAACAATTTTTAAAAAATTAATTAAAATATAAATTTATATATATTATTAATTTATGACTGTATAAATAATATATATTATAAATTATTTTATATAATCTATTATTTTTTTTAATTTAATTAATAAAAATATATAAATACAATATATGATTTATTTATTTATTTTTTATTGTTTGTTTTCTTTAAATTAATAAAAAAAATATATAAAATATTAATATTTTAACTATATTTTATTTATTTATTATTTTAATAAATTAAGTTTTTTAAACTTTAAATCTTAAAATAATTGAATTAGCTATCCGTCAAGGATTCAGATATTCAGTTAATTCTAAAGTAATAAAAGATAAGCTTGAATACTAATTCTATAAAAAAAAGAAGGATAATTGAAATCAATTAAATTCTTCAACACTATAATTTAGTCACTCTTATATGTTATAAATATTTTATTGAAAATAAATTAATTCCTGAAAAATATGAAGTTGATAATGTATTCGCATTTTCTTCTAATGTAAAAAATTTTTTATAGAGTTATTAAGTTTTTTATATGGTTTATATCTTCTCAGAACTGATGTATCTTACATAAAAATTTATAAGATAATTTATAATATACCCTGTATAATTAAAATTAATAATATTGAAAATAATAATAGGTACTTAAATTTGTTTACACTAATGAATTAAAGTTTATTTTATATAAGGGTTTTAACCCTATGTGATATAATAAGAAACTGATAATTTAAATATTCGTTAAAAGATTCTTAGGTATTAATACAATATATCATTAGAAAAATTTAAACTTAAAAATTATATAAAAACTTTAAATATATTTCTTATATTTTTCTCTATTTAATTAAATATTTTATTTAACTAAATATAAAAATTTATATTACAAAAATTTAGATAAAAAATAGAAAATTAAAATATTCTTAAATTATAAAAATTATCATATTAATATTTTTTTCTTAAAAAACAATTGTATTACATTTAAATTTAAATAAAAATAGTAGAAGGATTTCGATATAAATTTGATTAATTAGATAAATTTCTTAATACAATTTTTTTTTAACAAAATTAAAAATTAATTAATATCAATAAAAAAGATATTATATTATTTATATAAAAAAAAAAAATATGATTATAATATTATGATTAAATATAATAAAAAGTATATCAAAAAAAAAAATTATTTGTAAAAAGTATAAATATATATAAATATAAATAAATAATATAAACATATATATTTATATATTTATATATATTTATATATATATATATAATATATATCTATATTTTTTATTTTAAAATATATATGAATATTAATAAATAAATAAATATATATAAAATTTTAAAATATTTTATTTAAAAAAATTTTACATAAATATAAATTATATTTTAAATATAAAATAACATTATAAAATACATTTATAAATATAAATTTATATAAATATATTTTTTAAAATTTATATATAAAATATTAAATGAAATAAATAAATATATTTAAAAATTTATATTTATGATTATTATTAATTTTAAAAATTTTAAATATATAAATATGATTTTTTATTTAATTATACATAATTTTAAATAAATATATATAAATTTTTATATATATATATATATTTTTATATAATTTATAAATATAAAAACTTTTAATATTTTTTATTTATTATAATTTATTTTTAAAATTTTTTTTCTTGTC